GCAGGCCTCCTCCTCCTCCTCCTCCTCCTCCTTCTCCTCCTCCTCCTCCTGCTGCAGTGGATCAGATGCGCTCAGACCGAGAAGGCGCTGTTTACTGAAAGTGACCGCGCCAAAGACGCGCCGGGCAACCAATGAGAGGAAATGGAAAAGCCCAGAGAGCAAATCATGCTGGTAATATAAGACCTGACGACCAGGAAGGGTTTATATACGGAAAAATCTGACTCTTAAATGGGTTTGTTTTCCTACCTTACACAAGGAGAATAAATGTTATTTTTAACTTATAATAATTAAACTAAAGACATTAATGCCACAAAGAGGGCGGTCCTTAAAGGAATGCACATTGCCCGGCACCAATCRTGCCAGGATTTTCAGAAGGGACAGATTTCATCCATTTGTATCAGAAATTATGACGTGATCTTGAGAGCACACAGAGAGGGAGTTGAAGATGACTCTCAACCACCACACCAGATTTTAGCTCAAAATTATGCAAAACTGGCTGAGTTGTAGCTACTTTTGTGTCTCCAATCAGTTGACTGTCAAGACCACCTTGAATTAAGTTGATTCCAAAAGTTTATCATTTGTAGATGTTCAAGCAATGACTACTTTCTGAGAGTTTCATTACAAATTGCCCACTTGTTCATGAGTAATGATGCTAACAGACAGGTGCAGTTGACTCCAATTTTTAGGCTTGTGGTAGTTTTACTAATAGATCTCCTAATCTAGTAAAACTTGGAATACGAAAAGCCTCTCAGCTGCTACCACACCAAATCTTAACTCAATATCTGTAAAATGAGCTGAGTTTTTGACGCTTACAAGTTTGCTGATTTCTATTATCTGTGGCGGTCATCTTAAGCTGGCATGACTCTAAAACTTAATCAGTTGAGCATCCAATGGTTTCTATTTGTGAGTTTTATGAACGTCCTTCATTGGTGAATGATAATATATATATATATATATATATATATATAAAGAGTTAATCTTCAGGATCATCTTGGGCCTGTTAGTTAATGGGTTATTACAACCAAAATGATAAAATAAACTGCTTTCATTTTTATGAATGATCATTTTGCAGGCAGAACTGTGTGAAACGACCACCTGGTGGTTCCATTTTTGTTTGACAAAATAAAGCCCAGATTTCACTCCGACGTGTGCTGCAGAACTCTCACASTCTTCCCTCCTTCCTGTACATCATTCCAAACCTGACAGCTGACTGTCTTCCCAGTGACTGTGTGTTCTTCTGAGTAGTGCTACTATTTTTATTTTGCGACCACACGTAGGTTCTTACGGGTGGGACTGTGCAAACTGAGTTATTATTTTTGTCTTCAATGAGTAACTCATGTGATTCAGCTGTGATTAAGGTAACACCAGGTGTCTGCACAGCAGCTAAGTTGTATTTATGCTCAGTTTTATAATGATTTCAGCCTGCAGCTCAGGCTCATCTTATTTTCTCTGCTCACTTTTAATGTCTTAATTAAATGGATGTTTAAATTTTTTTTGGACTGAAGTTCAGTAAAATAGTTATAAACTGTTAAAATCTGAACTACTTCAGTTTGGCGAATCAGACTTTAATTGTGACTGAAGGGAMAACTAAAGGCTAGTCCCAGTGATGTCAATCAATCAAACTTTATTTCTTTAACACATCTTTAATACAAGTCAAATACAATTCAAAAGGTTTTACAGCAAAAATAAAAAAGGTATCTATCATATACAAGGGTGGGCCATCCTGCAAGTTTTACTAATTTCTCTGCTCCAATACGCCTGATTTGAATGGTGTGACTAAGCTTCTGCAGARCATGAAGAGGTAAGTCTGAATCAATAAAACATGCAGGATAATGGCCTTGAAAACCAAGATTGCCCATCTGTGCTAAAGGATGAAGCTCCCATGTGTTAAATTCAGACTGAACACATGAGCTTTTAGTTCAGAAGTGCAGGCCGTTCCACAGTCTTGGTGCATAAACAGAATTTCCAAAGGTTCTTGTGCTGCCTTGTGACGAACCTGAGGATCTGAGGGTCTGAAGATTTTTAATGTACATTTTAAAACATTTACCTTTATTTTTTACTAACATTTTTCTCATGGAAATATACTGGCTTCAGTTCCTTCACAAACATTTTTGTCTTGAAAAAGAAAAAAATTGTATAGGTCTTCTGGACGGGTTCTTCTCTAATGAAACGTTTCGTCTCTCCTCCAAGAGACTTCTTTAGTCTGAGAGGCACTTGTATATGCTGTTAAGTGCCAGGAGGACYGCGACCAKTTWTACATYGGGGAAASAAAGCAACCACTGTTCAAAAGAATGYCCCAACACAGACGAGCTACATCTAATGGCCAGAACTCTGCAGTTTTCACTCATTTACAGGCCAGCGGTCACTCTTTCAGAGATGAGGATGTTCTCATTCTTGATAGAGAGGAACGTTGGTTTGAGAGAGGAGTAAAAGAAGCCATTTTGTGAAGAAAGACCGTCCATCATTAAACAGAGGTGGAGGCCTCCGTTATCAGTTGTTCCCCTCCTACAGCACTGCCATTGGCAGTATCACTCCACCCCCTGTTAACAATAGGTGTTAATTAGGTGTCAATGATA